GAAAACCTGGCTCTGGTGCTCTGCACTGGGCACGAGCAAAGGGGCCCTGAGGGCAAAACTCCACCCATCATAGGTTCTGTCTTGTGAAAATGAAAATTTGTTTAAAAAAACCTGCAATGAGAACAAACGGAGAGCTTCCTGTTCCTCGGCAGCTCGACAGCAAGAGAAATGGTCCCCAAAATCCTTACACAGGAGGTGATTTAGATGGTGCTGGTCCAAGCAAACTGATCGGCACTGGAACATGGCAGCAGAGTTCACGTGATACCTGTTTTGCAGGCATGAAAGATGCAAGATTGAGAGGGTCATGGAGTCTTGCCCTCCAGTTCCAGAGAGCCACTCAGACAATGTGTGGTAGGATGTCAGAGTCCCCACACAGAAACCCTGAGAGGCCACTGCATGAAGCTGTGAAGGTGAAGTTCAAGTGGTAATGGAGACTGCAGGATGCTGGGAAACCCCAGGCCATGACACATCCACTGGGGGAAACTGTGGCCATCCAGTGGTGCTAGCCCAAGAGAGAAGCCATGTTTGCTTAATCATCAAGCCCTTTGCAACCCAGACGGTTCCGTTGTGAGTCCTAGATGCTGGACATGGAGATAGCTGCAAGATCTGAAGCTTTCCCTGCTGGGGTTCAGTCTTGCTTTTATCTAATTATTCTTTGCTGTGCCCTAGTTATCATTTCTGGAATGGGAATGGGTATCCTGACCCATAGTATATTAGATCTATGTAACTTGTATTTTAAAAATCTCAATTAAAAGACTGCCTTGATCTTGGTTGAGGCCTGGGCTTTGCTATTTTAAGCAATGTTGAACTGTTAAAGACCAGGGAACGGTTTTCCTGAATGCATCTTGTATTAGGCAATGGCCGTGAGTCTTAGAGAGTCAGGGGATGGAAGGTCGTACCTTAAATGTGGCCTGTTTGGGTGTCGGGTTGACAAGGGGTGAATTTGTCAGCTTGATGGGATTTAGAATTACAGTAGAGAAAATGTTAGACTTTGTTTTGGCAAAGTTAACTGAGGTGTGAAGAGCAAGGGTCCCTAAACATGGGCTGCACAAGTTCACGGGCTGAGTTCTGGACGGTAAGCATTCGGGGCTCTCTGCATCCTGACTGTGGAGAGAGACGTCCCCCCTTGCCCCCCTCACCCCGCCACACTTTCCCCACCGTGGGGGACTCTAGTCTCATTGAGCTCGGAACCCTTCTTTTGTTAAGCTGCCTCCAGACAGATATTGAGTCACATCTATGAGAAAAGTCACTCATACAGATACACTCCTCTCTCCTCAAACTCTCAGCAATCCTCCTGCCTCAGCCTCTAGAGTACTGGGATCACAGGCCTGAGCCACTATGCTTGGCCAGAAATGTACTCTCAAGGAAAAGCTGGAGGGTGGCATTCAGAGCTGTCTTCATTGTGTCAGCCAAGACTTGTTGCTTTGTTAGAAGCCAGCTCTGTTCCTGTCTCCTCCATTCAGTGTAGGGCTGAGAATCCAACCAGCTATGCCCCTGTCTCCTCCATCCAGTGTAGCGCTGAGAATCCAACTATTGCACCTTACCTCCTAGTCATGGGAGGGAAGAAGCAATAAAGAAAGTAATACAGAATACCAACCAACCATTAAGGAAGGTTTCTGGAAGCTTCCCGTTGATCAGAGAACTTGGGCACAACCATCTAGATTGGAGGCTGGAAAATGCTTTTATTCTAGGTGACCAATTGACCAGCAAAAATCAGACTTTTTTTTTCCTACGTAGAAAAGAAAGTAGATTTTGGAGGGACACATGTGGCGACCTCTGCCCCAATGCAGGAGCATGTTTGCATGGGTTTGTTGGTCATTTTTATCCTCATCTAAGAATTCTCTCCACACTCGTCTTCCCTTCTTCTCTCGCACAGTGTCCTCTGCGTTTCAAACAGTCTCAAGGAGAACCTCTACCTGCCTCAGCGATCTGTGAGAAGTGAGAACAGTCCTTGGCTCGATGTGCCTGTGTCAGGTAACTGAGCACACAGAGCAGCTCAGTTCAGGACCTGTGTGTGCTTTGTGGGGTCTAAGTCAGGGGCTACCCTGTCCTGGCACGTGTCAGCACCCTTAGGGAAAACGGACCTGCTGGATTATACCCTCATCCTCCCCGGTCAGCATGCTGGCTCTATCCTGTCTGTCACCCACCTTCTTCCGGACAGAGTGCCACACATGGCCACTCATTTCTCAATTCAGCTGTCCCACATGCAACTTCAAAGACTAGTGAGATCTTCATGAGTATCCTCTAAGCCCGCCACAATGGCTCCCATTTTCTTCATGAGTCCTTTGTGTGCCAGGGTTTCCCAGTCTTTTTCTCAGTTGCTCTCCAGGGAGTCAGCTTCCCTCCTGGAAGTCACTTCGAGTCCACCTAGCCTCCCTAGGTGGAGTGGGGACATCTCAGAGGAGTGCAGTCCTCTCAACACCCACCCCAAATCCTGTGCTTCTATCGAGGTGACCTGTGACTGTATCCTATCTAGCAACAGTGCTGTTGCTCTGGGACCCCACACTAAGCCCAGTTTTCCACTAGTGGGAATGACATGCAGATGGTGTGGTGATGGGGCATGGCTGTAAGTCACATGAGATACACTAAGTGAGCTCCAAGAGTTGTTAGGGCCACCCATGCTTTTTTTTTTTTCTTTTCCCTTAGTCAAGGTAGCAAGTCAGATGCCTCCCAGAGATCACTACAGCAAAGGCTAGGAGCTCCTACATTTCAAGGACATACAAGGGCATCCAGGAGAAGCCCTGGCTCCTCTCCCCTCAGTACCCCTTTCATACTTTGATGGGACAAGGGTCATGCAGCCATTCCTAAACCAATCATGGTAGGTGGAGCCACCATGTGGGGCTTGGCCCAATTCAAATGCCACAAACACCATAGCAGTGTGTTGCTGGGATGTGCAGGGAGAAACAGAGGTTCGGGGAACCCCACTGGGAGAAGAGCAGGTACCCAGAGGCTACAAAGACAAACCGATGAAGACGATAGCCAAGCCATGTCCAGTATTGCTCATTGGCCATGGGGACTGACTTAGTGATCATGACTTCTGGGATGACACAGAAGACAGTTGGGGGCTGCCACAGCCACCAAGGGGCTTGTACCCTGGGGCCAGGGGTTCCTAGAGTGGTCAACTGGACCCTATAGGAGTTGCTTTTCTGGGAGAAACTCCTGGGAGGTGCTGCAGCATAAAATTTGGGGAACAAAAGCAGAGACAAGGGTGACCCCAAGCAGCCCCCGGAACTTCTGATAAGGTAGCAAGCACTAGAAGGCTGAAGGCCACTCTGGTCTCATGTCCTGAGAGCTGTCAGCCTATAGGTGGTGTTTAGATCCCAGGGACTTAAGGAACAGAAAGCCAGAGAGTGGCTGCTGAGTGTCCTGTGCTTTTCTCTACCTACTGCAGGTATCAAATACCAGCTGTCAGAGCTGGCACAGATGCAGTGAAAGTAAACAGTGGAACTACCAGGCACAGCCCTATGAGCTGGGGGGAATCCATTGGGTTCAGAGCTCAGAGAGGAGTCCTTCTAGGGATGTCCTTCTGGGACACCTCCCTGATCAGGCAGCAGAGTCCCCTCCCCATCCCCCCGTATTGGCTCTTTTGTACTCTTTTTTGATAAGTTGCCATAACCCTCGTGTGGGCAGTGCCCTCAGCCAGCTTTCTGGAACTGCCTGGTAAGCCACGCCCAGGGACAAGCACCTTGGCTCTCAGGCCTTCAGCTCCACACTACAACTTGGCCAGAGGACATCGCTGGCTCCATTTCACAGATGTGCAAATGGAGGCTCTGGAACTCAGATGGGCAATCCAAAATCCCACACTCCCCTTTGCAGATCATCCTGGTGGGTCAATCAAACCATTGGTTCATAACCTAGTGAATGGCTCCATCTGTTTATGTGTGTGGGTACAGGAGGGACAGTGGGGCCTGAGGAGGTCTAGTGTGGTAGAATTCAGGAAACCCAGCACTCGGCTTGGACCACGGCTAAGTCCAGGGTCCCTGGGGAAGAATCAAAGGGTGCAGTGTCCTCAAGCCACCGCTGAGAGCCTGAAGACTACCAGCACAGCCCCTTGCTTCAGGAGCCCCATTGCAAAACAAACCCTCAACGCAATCAGCATCGAACCTGAGTGTAGAAGCTTTCATCCTCCAGTTGTAGCCCCAGAAAAGTCCTTAGACCACAGAGGCTGAGAGAGCAGAGTGACCGCTGAGGTGGCGGAATGAGGTGGAGGGCTGGATGTGGGGAAAGGAGAGGAGAATAAGAGAGGCCTAGGCCAAAGGATGCCGTGAATCAGGCTTAAACCCAGATTTCCTACAGCGGAGCAGCCAACAACACCCAGCCCTATGACTCCAGGAGACTGGACTGCACTTCCTCTGTGGCTTTCTCGGCCAAATCTGGACCCCACGAGGTCCTGCCATCTGCTGGTGCTCGGGACCCCGAGTGAAGTGTGTCGGAGGGTAAAACAAAGAGCTCAGAGGTGGCCACAGCAGTGCGATTCCCGGGGACAAAGGTCCTGCCCGTGTCCTTTAGGCTTCACCATTTAAGAGGTCAGCTAGGAAGGATGCCTGGAGAGTGCTCAGAACAAGCCTCAAGTCTAGAAAGTCAGAAGGTGGCCAGGCCCTTTATTCCACCGGGGACAACAGAGGGAAGGTGTTCCACAGGCCAAGGGACTGACTACCTGGGCTTCCCACTGCCTCGCTCCTCCCCTATCCCAGATTATTGGCTGGTCCCATCCAGCTCTGGATCCTAGCACTACCTGCTCTGCTGGGAACCCACTATCCTCCACCTCTACCTGGGGCTTGGCCTTCAAAAGCCATCTGCTCCTGACCAGACACCTAAATGCAAAAGAGGGCTTCCAGTCTATGGCCACGTCCTCTTCCCGCGTGTGGACCACCCATGTCACCACGCTAGTGTCTCCTCATCAAGTAGAGACCCAAGGTGGCTGCATATCATGGCAGTAAATATTGAGAAGTCAGAAATCAAGCTAACAACCTGTTATAGCGCCCCTCCCCGCCCACAATCCTTTCTTGATAAATACACCTCAGCACGGCCTGACAGGTTTCTAGCTCAAATTGGCAGACTCCCTGATGCAGTGGCCAGGGAGAGGTAAGCCCCACCCCTTAGCCTGAAGCATACCCCTTTCCTGCTCTCCCAACACATCCCAAAACTCAGGGGACAAGTGTTTGCACACACATACCCAGATCTATTAAGTTCTGTCTGCAGCTCTCTGTACATCTGGACCATTGCACATGCAGAGGACACCCACACAGGTGGACACAGGCCATCCTCGGGAGGACAGACCCTGGATGTGGGCCTGAGGCCAACTGAGAGATCATCCTGGGGTCCTGGCTCTTTTAAGAATGGGCCAAGTGTGGAAGCTCTGAGAACACGCGTGTTGGTGCTGTGGTGAGGAGCTGGGGTGGGATTGGGCCCATGCAATCCCTTCTTGTGTACACAGCCTGGGTGAGGGCCATGCTTGACCCAGGAGACCCAGTATCGCCTCCTTTTTCCATCTCAGGATCATGGCGCCATGTCTGGACGCATTGAAAACAGCGAAGAAGCCACCTACCTCTTGTGGTGCTTTCTAGAACCCAAGGTGGCTCTCCCAAACCCTAGAGTTTTTTTCTCGTTCTTATCTTTGGATGAAGAATGTGTTCTTTGAACTTAATCTTAGACAAATTTTAATCAGCTTAAATCAAGGTCCAGAATCCAAGGCCCAGGGCTGTCACAGGCTAACACTCCTCCACTTGTTGCTGGCCTCCAGATTGGTGTGCTCTGTAAGGCCATCCCCACTGAAGGGATGTCAGAAAGAAATTGTATAGAAGAACAAGAAAAGCCTTAGGGTCAGATGAGCTGGGCTAGCTCAAGGAAGCAACCTCTGGCCTCATGTTGTCTCCCCTCCCCCTCTCAAGGCACAGCAGAGCTGAACAGCAGGCCTTGCCCCTATCCTGCAAGGGTCCCTGGGACCACAGAGGTTCACAAAACTTGGCCAGACCTGTCACACTCCTCCTAGGGCCAGGGTTGGGGTGTCTTGTCTGTAGATCAGGTGGCCTTTGTAAGACCTGCACTATTAGGCTCTACCCTAGGTCTCTAAGCCACCCGGCTTCCAGATCCTGGCCATCCAGGCAGTGTCAGGCATGGGCTGAGTTTGAGCCTCAAGTTAGACCAGTCATTGATTGGCCGCACCCACTAGCTCTGAGCCACCATCGTTCCAGCGCATCTTGCAGGTCAAACAGGAAAATGTGGTCTACAGAATTAACCAAGCAGGGCTCATAGGGGCTCTCAGAGGCTGAAGAGGCAATCACGAAGCCTGCATGGCCCTCTACATTCATGCTGTGGGTTTCCAGCTTGTGGTTTTTGTTGAATTCCAACAGTGGGAGTGGGGATATCTCTGACTCTCTTGCCTGCTCCTTTCCCTCCTACTAGGTCACCTTGTTCAATCTTGACATGAGTTTGTACCTAGGCTTACTGCATCTTGTTAAGCCGTGTTCAGTTGATAATCCCTGGGTGGTCTGCTTCTTTCTGAAGAGAAACGGAGGAACAGTGGATTTGGGGGAGAGGAAAGTGAGGGGTGACTAGAAGGAAGGGAGGGAAGGGAGGTTGTGGTCAGAATGTATTGTATGAGACAAGAGTAGTGGCAGCAATGATCCTGGAGACAGCAGCCAGGGACCTCAGGGTGGACCAAAGGGACAGTAGTATCTACTGCAGCCCAGCCATGTGCAAGTGTGACCTCTGTCCGAGTGTCTGCCTCCCAGGCAAACCGTCTGCCTCCTGGTCTCTTCTGAGTTTACTCATGCCAAATCAACTAGGAAAGTTTGCTGTCTGCAAAAGAACAGGGGGTTGGGGGGGGATTCCCACGGTTGTGTGTGTCCAGGTAAGTCGGAGGGCAGGCTATAAACCCTATGTACAAATGCAGGTAAAAGGAGGAGGGGGTGCCTTCCCAACAGAAGGGCCTGTGCGTGAGAGGAGCTTGCTGGAGCAGGTCAAAGAGTACACTGAAGGTCAGGACACAGAGGACGCTGACAAGCTACAGTATCCTGAGTCACTCTGCGTTGCTCTGTTAAAACTCATCCTCACGTGAGCCTGGCAGGGTCCCCAAGGACCAAAGACAGGCCACCAGAGTCTGTTTTCTAGGAGCCCAAGACAGGGGACGTGGCTAGAGCTGAGTACAGTGTGGACGGGTCAGCTGCTGAGGAGACCAGCCCTGGTGTCCTACCCAGGTTGTCGCTTGGACCTCAGGAAGGAGGCCCAGGCCTCGCCTGGAGACCATAGGAACAAGCCTGAATCCCTTAGGCATTGTGTAGGGGTTAGCAAGGCCTGTTTAAAAAGAAAGGGGGGTCTCTTCTGAAATGCAAAACCCAAGGACACTTGAGTGGGAATGAGCCAGGAGTTGGAGGGGTAGAGGGCAACCCACCAACAAAGACAAAGGCAGGAATGGGAGGGAGTCCAGACCCTTCCTCATTCTGACCCAGGCTCACCTTCCTGTGGTCAAAGGGCTGGTGAAGCACCAGGTGCTACCTGTAAGAGCAGAAGAGCAGGCTGGGAGCTGAAGGCAAGGAAGGGGCAAAGTTCGTAATTATTAACAACCAGTATAGACGAGGTCCAAGAGAGAGCCAGACCCCACAATGGGGAAAAATTTGAAGAAAATGTGAACTGGCAGGTCACCCACAAAGTCCTTGTGGAGTAAAATGCTAGACCCTTTCCTGAAGGAGAGAGCCTTTGGGGTTCTGCTCAAGGATGGACCAGAGAGAAAGGTGAACTGGATACAGGTGACCCCAAAAAGACAAAAGGTAGAGCCTCTCACCAGCCGAGAGAGGGATTTGATGCGATAAAATTTACTGTGAAGATCGTCCATAAAGAGACAATGCTCCAGTCACATAAACCCCAAATAAAACCACCAGAACAGGCACACACGTGGTGCACAGACATATATGCAGGCAAATAACCGTACACAAAATGACACAGAACAGCAACAAACCACGCTTAAGGCCTAAAGCCTCCCTCCCTCCTCTCCCATGAGAATGGCTTGAGACTCACACAGCAACATCAGGAAGCAAGAGTCTCGGCTTCTCTTGTGAACTAACATAGGAAGGGTTCCCTTGACCTTTGTGACCTATGGCTTCACTATATCAACCTGCTATCCTATACACTATCCCTCAGAAACCACCAGAGGACCTCATTTACTAAGAGAACAAAGGTCCTTAGAAACCCCTTGAACAATGTAACTCCAGAACGCACCCAAACTGTATTCATGATTACTATTAAGATTTTAAGTGAGACTCTCGTTGGAAGCCTAGAATGTATGTACTATTCTTTTCTGGACTCTCTTTCTTCCTCAATGTCCATGCTTAAATGTATACTAAAACCTTTCTCTTCCTCCTCTTCTTCTTTTTTTTTTTTTTTAGACAAGATCTTGTCTATCCCAGGCTGGCCTTGAACTTCCCATATAGCCAAGGCCTCCACCTACAAAGTGCTGGGATTACAGGCCTGTGCTGTCACGCCTGCTGCTAGGGATGGAACCCGGGGCTTCCTGTGTGCTAGGCAAGCACTCTACCAACTGAGCCACATCCACAGGCCCCACAACCTTAGAAGACTCCGGCTCTGCTTTGTGTGGACACATACTGAAGTTCTCTTCTGCAGACAATGAGTCTGGGCTGCCCTGAGGGCTGTCTCTGAGAGACGTCTCTGGCTTTAGGCAGCAACTCTGGACTGTCTTTCAATGGCCACTAACAGCACTCCCATGCGACAGCCCTCACAGGGACTAGCTTAGTCCTGGGAGCCCACTTTAAAAAGGTCTTCAGTAATCCAGCCCAAATGGAGGTGGGGCACACTTCAGACAGGAGGAGTCTGAAGCAGTTGGAGGAATAGAAGGAGTTTGAGGGAAGGAAAGAACCTCTGGGAGGCAGGGTCTGAGTGTTGGCGGGTACTCTGGCCCCAAAGGGTAAGCCTGAGGCTCCACCTAGCATGGTAACCCACATTCTGTCCGACTACAGACAGGAACCCGTAGGAAGTCTTGATTCTTCAAGGCAGGGATGGTTTGCAGCTATTAGGAAAAAGTGGCTGACGGTAAAGAACATGGAAGAGGAGTGATCAGCGAGTGGCCAGGGTCCAGGGATGGGTGCCCAGGCCAGGTATAGAGGCAGCCTAGGAATCCCACCTTGGCAAGAGCGAGGAACGTGGCCTGGAACAAACTGGACACCATGATCACTGTCTAGGATGGTTTTCCTTCTGCTGCCCATGTGCCTCCCCAGGGATGTGCACGAGGGAGGCCAGAACCACAGACAAGGCACCAGGTCATGAGTACTGAGTGACTTCCAGGTTCTTGTGACAGAATGGGGTGTTGGGAATGCACGGCCATCCCACGTTCCCTGCTAGGCACTCGATGATGGCACTACCCACTCAGTTCTGTTAGCCAAGAAGAGAGGACATGAGACGCTGGGGATGCAGTCAGTGCAAACCTTGGCCCCGTTGTTTTAAATAAGAAATTTATTGCAAATATAGAAATTGATTCTCTCCATACAGGAATCTCCAAGGTGAGGAAAATGATTTCGTGCCATTCGGTTTAAAAGAGGAAAATTGGGGGGGGAGCAAATGGAAGGAGGAAAAATAAATGAAGTTACCCCCTAAAAGAAGACAAGGAGAGGTTCCGACGCCCCCAGGAGGAGGCAAGTTCCGTACACAGCGAAGGGTCACAGGTTCAGAGTCCAGGGCCCAGAGCCCAGCTCCGCAGAGCTCAAACCAGGTGCCAGGCCGCCATGCCTCCGGGGGCTGGCAGCTCCTGAGGAGGGCGGGGGTGGGAAGCAGGGAGGAGAGGTGGCCATCAACGCCTGGACCTCTACTGCAACCCTGTGCTTGCCTGGCTGAAGAGGGAAGAAGAGGAGGAGGACACTCCTGTGGGAACCTCTGTTCTCCCTGCCGCTCATCGGGGGGCAGCTGGCATCTGGGGGAGGGCACTGGGGAACTAGCGGGAGATATTGGTTCTTAGAGGTGGATGTAAAATTCATGGAAGGTGTCAGTGTGTGACATGAACAAGGACACTGGGAGAAGACACCCTCTCCTGGGGCTGAGGGGATCCCAGAGAGCAAGCCTTGTCAAGAGGGACAAGCATCAAGGGGGTAAGGTCACCCTACAGGTAGCTAGACACCCTATAACTTCCCATACTTTTTCCCACCCACCCACACCCTGAAGAGGCCCCCAACCATGTCAGGACCTGCTTGGGCAGAGTGATATAGAGTAGCCAGAAGAGGCTTGGGGACAGCCAGCAGGTCCAACACCTCTCCCTCCTAGTTCATTTTCAAAGCAATGGATCTTCTTGTCTGTTTCTGTCATCTCCTTGGAGGGATAGGAGACCGCCTGCCCCGCCTTCCCCCATCCCTCCATTCATTCTCTGCAGGGGCCTAGCACTGCTGGGGAGCCTGTATCTCCCCCCACCCCCGCAGTTTCAGCCTCTCATGAAGTGGGAGGTTGGGAGGGCCGTTGCTTCCATCCCTGTCTGTTCATTCTCCTCTGGGCCTGTCTAGGGGGTTCCCTTTGCCTGTGCTTTTTTGCCCACTTTAACTCCTTAAAATTTCTGGATTTTCAGCACAGGTGACTTCTGATCATGAACTTGGAGGCCCACGGGCCAGCCCAGACCACCACCATTACTAGCTGCCTCCTCTGCGCAGCCCAAGTCCTCCTAAGGTAATCAGGGTTTTCCTCCCACCCTGCATAGGCTGCCCCAAAGCTTCCTGCTCTGTGCTCAAGAGGAAATAGAGTCATAGGGCCAAGGAAGTGTCAAGCTGATACAGGCTCCCCTGAATCCAGCGAATACTACGCTTTTTATTTCTGAAAGCCACATGTTCTAACAAAGGCAACTTCACAGGTTCTTCTCTGCCAGGACAGGAAAGCCCAGTTGTAACTTCCAACCCTCAGGTCTCCCAGATGACTCCATGAACCCCCTGTGTTCCCGCTCCCTGTGCCCCTAGAACTACAAAGTCACGGGCTTCACTTGGACCCAGGGAGGAAGTATGCATTTGTCTTTTGTGACTATCTCATTTCTGCCCAGGGACATGCCAGAGGGAAACTTCAAGGGCCTACCCTGGAGAGGACTGGCCAGGGCAGCTGGAGGGCCAGACCAGTGGAAGTGCCTGTGACCTGGACCCCACTGTTGAAATAGACCTTCTCTTTAAAGTCCTTCCTGAGTGGCATCTGAGGTTTTCTAAGTTGTCTTCAATCAGGAATGATGGCCGAATAGTGGAAACAGAGCCCAATCCATGGTGGGGACCCTCCCTTTGCATGAAAAGGCCCACTCCCCTCTTGCAGGGCCCCAGGCATCTCCAGGAAGCCCCAAACTCTTGACCTCCTATATTCAGTATAGTTGACAGTTCTCCCCATCCTGTGCAGCCAGATAAGGTGCCTCTTTATAGAGGGCCCCAGCTTCATCTCCAAATGGGAACAGGTGGACAAGGGTCCTCTCGTAGCCCCTTTCACATGGCCTTGGGGACACTCTTCCGAGACTGCCTTCCCTGGTGGAGAGGGAGGAAAAGGACCAGCAGGGACGGAATTGGACTGAGACGGGAAGGGGTGGTGACGGAGGAAGGCAGGCAGCACTTGTGGGCCCAATGCCCAGAAAGATGGGAGAAGGATATGGGAGGGGGGAAGGCAGGGCTAAGTTGGTGGCACCTGTTTTGGGTCTTCTGCAGAGCTGGCCCTCCCTGGATTTCAAGAGCTGCTCGGATCACATGGAGGGCGGTAGGGGTGGGGAGGGGAGTCTGGACAAACTGGCACATACACGACAGATGTTTGCTCAGAAAAATACAGTAAAATCGTCATGCAAAGATAACAGGGGTCTGCTAGCTCACACCCCTGGCCTCTCGGCCTGCCTGCTCTTCTTGGGTGGTGGGTGTAGGGTGGGGTGAGGACAGGTTTGTGGCTGGGGGAGCGCTGCTCTTCACATCCAGGCTGGCCAATCTCCTCCTCTCCCCAGGAGAACAGTCTTTTTTTTTTTCTTTTCTTTTTTTTTTTTTTTTGCAAATGTCACCCCTGAGTGAGCCCTGGGCTCGGCCCACCCCAAAGTCGATGTGATAGAGGCGTTCAGTCAAGTCTCCCACCCCAGTCCTTTCCTGTACCCCACCCCCAAGGATAGCCCTAGCTTTCCTGGTCAGAGCCCTCCCTGGTCAAGTGAGATGCCACCCCTATTCCCCCACACACACTCCACAGTCACACTCTCCCATCTCAAGAAACCCATGACAGGAGTGAGGGTCTCTGGAAGGGTTGGAGTAGAGCCAATGAGGTTCCTCCCTATCTCAATGACAAGCCAAAAGGCACATGGGCAGGGGGCAGAACTGCCTAGTGCGACTATCCCCATGCTCCATAGGCCCACTGCCTACTCAAAGGCAAAGACAATGCCATAGGCCAGCCTCAGGTCTCCAGAAAAACCTCCATGGTTTATCTCTAGAAGCTGCTGACTCTTGAGAGAGCTGCCACCTGGCCAGGCCTCCTTTACCACCCTCTGCTGCCACCCACACGGAGAGAACTTCAGAGCCCAACGGTTGGTCAGTTAGTCCCTCTGGGCACCAACTGCCAGGCACTGGGTTGCCGTGGCAACAGACTAGCTAGGGAAGGGGAGGGGCCAAGAACCTGGCCTGCTCCCTGACCAGGGCAATAGGGGGCACCTCACTGTTTGTGCTTTGATTGGTGTTGGGAGTGGGTCAGAAGAAGGACTGTGGTCATTGCCATGGAAACATGGGAGCCCCTCTAGCCAGGGGGTGAGACAGGGTGGGGTGGAGGCAGATGCCTTCCTAGGCAGGCCAAGATGCTGCACACAGCAGGGGCCAAGCAAGTGTGGGTACAGGGTGCAGGGAGGAATCCCCACATTCCAGATTGCCTCCACACTGGCCCCAGGCCTTGCCATTCACTGTTGCCTCTCTGTAGTGGGTAGGGGTCCGGGAGACCCAGAGAAACTAGGGGCTGTGGCATGGGAGCCTGCACCTGAGATACCAGTGGGGAGCAGGTCGGCCCACCACCCCAACCCCAGGCAGCTCCCTGGGGCTACTTGGAAGACACGTGAAGGGAGTTGGTGGCACCCTTTGCCTCGGCTTCTCTCTGGTCAGCAGGACATTCCTCACCCCTGACCATCTAGGGCTAGGGACCACAGCCTTTCACTTTGTGAAGGGCTTTCACTTTTCACTTTTCACTTCTTCTAGAGAAGAAAAGCACCTGCCTACCTCAGTCCCTAGACCCCTGAGACCACAGATTTGGAAGGGGTAGTTGGTGGAGGGGGTGGGGCCCAGAGGAGCAGCTGGAGGCGGGGCCAGCACTGGGCCAGGAAGCTGGGAGAGAGCTGTAACCTGGTGGGTGAGACCCCTAGGGCTTTTCCTCTCTGGGCCATCCATAAAGTGGGAGGAGAGGATGCCCAACATCCACATGCTGCCAGATCTCCAAGGGAAATGTCCCCCAGCTTGGAGGATACCCTCCCTGAACAAGAGGGCTAGCTATGGTTTGCTTCTACCCCAATCTCTTTTTCCATCAAACCCACCTGAGTCCCAGACCCCACACCCTCTCTGGTCTCTTTCCCCAGCCCCGTGAGTCCCTTGGGCAGCACAGTAGAGACAACTGGTTTCGGTAGCAGGTTGTAAACTTTAAGGAAAATGTTTGTTTTCCTGCCCGTTATTGTTGGGTGTTGCTTCACAGTCAGGTGGTGGTCAAGTGTATGTGTGTGTGTGCGTGCGTGCGGGTGTGCGTGTACGTCCACTCCTAGGCCCGGACCCCTTGGTCCGGACCCTTTGGCCTGTCCCCCGCCTCCCGGCCACCCTGGCGGGGCCCATCTCCCAAGTGCCCCTGCCCTCCCCCTCACCTCACCGGTGGGGGAGGAGAGGGTCACAGCTTCTGCTGGGCTGAGACCCCCTTCCAGTAATCAAGGATGTCATGCAGGTCCTCATCCTTGGCGAACTGGACCTTCTTGCGCAGGGCATGGCCAGCAGCCATGTACACCTCCTCACGGTGGTGCTTCTTGTAGGGCCGGAAGCGCTCCCAGATCTTATGTGTGCTCTCAGACGAGTACTCAGGGCTGGAGGAATACCCTGAGTAGTAATGTCTGGGGGAGAGCTGAGAATAGGTGGAGTCACGCTTGGAACGGGTCAGTGGCTTGAGGAAGGACACGCGCTGGCTCAGGCTGTCATTGCCCTCCTCGTAGTAGAGCGCAGGAAAGCTGTGCCGGTGCTCGCTGCAGTGGTAGGCCGGCTTTACCTCCAGGTGGTGAATGCCACCACCCCCACCACTGCTACCACTGCTGCTCGTGGGCACCAGTGGAAGCCGGTCCAGCGGGCTGTTGAGTGGGCTGCCTTTCTCTATGTACTTGGAGTCGGCCTTAGTCAGCCCGGGGGTACTTGGATGGTCTGGCACGTCCAGGCTGAAGACCTTGGCACTCTTGATGGAGCCGCTGGATGACACACTGCAGGTCTTGCGGGACACTGCGGCGTCAGCACTCAGCTGGCGCTGCAGTGGGTGGTGGGAACTCTCCTTGTAAGGGGGTGACAGGAAGCTGGGCCGCTCTAGAGCCCCAGGGGTGGCAGCGGAGGGGGCAGCAGTAGCTGCAGGGAGGGACTGGCACTCGAAGGCCAGATCAGAGTCCCCACCACCACTGCCACCCCCTAGGAAAGAGGCTGAGTCGAGCTTGAGGGCATCGATACAATTGTTAATGATCTGGTTGACCTTGTCCACTTCCTTGGCAATGGTGGAGATCTCAGTCGCTGAGCCCTGGCCATTTTCAATGTCTGGGAGCTCTTCCTCAGGCCTGACCAGGCTTTCCCCTGCAGCACCCGTGCGCACCTCAATATAGTTGCCTTTGGTAGCTACCTTGGGCGTTTCTAGCCCGGCCTCCAGCCCTTTGGAAGTGGGCAGCTTCTCCCCGATTATGGAGGGAATAGAGGACATGCGGGCCACAGGCAGCACGGGTGGCTCGCCCAGCTTCTGGGCAGCATGCACAATGGAGCCAGCATCCACATCGGCCCCATAGCGCATCTCCAAGATAGTCTTCTTGACATTGACAGACTTCTGCTTCTCCTCCTGCATGCGTCGCTTGCGCAGGCAGTAGTAGACGGCCCCCAGCACGATGACCATGCCGAACAGGCAGCCCAGGATAGTCATGATGTAATGCGTGGTGGTGGAGGTGCTGGGGGCCAGGTCCCCAGGCACGGGGTCCCGCGTGGTGAAGGTCAGACAGGTGTGGTTGAAGCGGCGGCTGTTACGCAGCGAGGTGACACAGAAGGTGTACTCAGTGTGCGCCCGCAGCTTGTCCAGCGTCACGATCTCTTTCTTGTTCTTGAGCGTCATGACATCAGAGAAGTAGCTGTTGTTGTACTGGACCAGCACGTACATCTTGCTGTAAGGATGCGGGATGATGACCACCAGGGTGGCCGAGGTGAAGGTGACTTGGTGCAGTTTGATGGCAGGTCCGGCAGACGCATCTGTGGTAGACGAGGCCGGCGGCTCCACCGAGAGAATCTCATCAGGATTGAAGCCTGAATTCTCATCGGGCTCCCTCTGGGCATCCGTGGAGTAGGGTGTGGGGTGACTCACAGGCCGGGCAAGCATCGAGCCATTGCGGCACTTGGCCTGCAGGACAGTTATGGCATTGAGGCTATGGTAAGGTCGGGGCACAAGCAATGGGTAACCCGCAAACTCCCTCGGTGACTCACACTGCAGGCGGTCATAGTTCTTGGTGACATTGTTGAAGACCACAAGCCAGGCAAGGAAGCCGAAGAGGTCACACTCACAGTTGAAGGGGTTGCCGGCCAGCTCACACACCATCAGGCTGGCAAGGCTGGCAAAGGTGGCGCCATCAAGACGGCTGAGGCGGTTGGAGGACAGATCAATGCTAATGAGGCTGGGGCACTCCGAGAAGGCGGTGGGCGTCACCACCTCGATGAGGTTGTGCTGGACAAAGAGGAACTGCAGGCGGCTCATGCCACGCAGCATGCCCTCAGTCAGGTTGCTGAGCCGGTTATAGCCCAGCTGAAGGACCTGAAGGCTCGTCTGGCCCAAGAAGGCACCGTCCTCAATGTAGGAGATCTCATTCTTGGTGAGGTTGAGGTCCGTGAGGTTCCCGAAGCGATTGAGAGAGGAATAGAGCACAGCCTTGAGCTTGTTCTCGTTGAGCCGCAGGTCATGCACAGTGCTGTTGATGTGCTGGGGGATGGTCTCATATGGCGGCTGGTTCTGGCTGCAGATGGCCAGCCACACGTAGCCCTTGTCCCCCTCAATGAGCCAGCAGTCAGCATGCACAGCACCCGGCTGGCACACGCACAGCAGTGCAGCCGCGCACAGCCCCAGGCGCAGCATGGCCCACGCTTCAGCCCCTTATAGACCCAGCTGGGGTGAAGGGCCAGAGAACAGAGGGACCTAGCAGCTAGAGGACGGGACCGGTAGCACAGTCCTCCCTGGAGCCGCCACCATCTTGGGGGTGACCTCCTGCACAGGAGCCCTGGGCAGGATGGGCACAGCTGGCACCTGCTGTTGTGAAGGGCTACAAGCAGGCACCAGGCGATACTGTGGCTCTAGGTCACTGTTGGAAGTGCAGGTGCCCAGGCTTTGACTTCTTCTTGTTCTTCCTCCTCCTTCCCGTGGGGTTCAGGGGATCAGAACTTCAGGCAGTTCCCACAGGAGCCAGGAGTGCGACACTGGGGGCCGGTGAGCGAGGTGGAGACAGGGAGGAAGAAGCCCATCTGTCACCTAATTCCTGAAAGGTGGCACCAAGAGAGAATGGCAGGTCAGTGTGGGGGCCCAACCTCTCTTGTTCTGATCAGTGTGAGCCTCCGTCCCTTTTTTATCCTCCTTCAGGACCAGGGACTCTGCACCAGCAAGGGTCCCAGGTCCCCTGCTACCTCAAAGCAAGGGAGGGCTGGGGTAGTCAAGGCAGGGAAGAGAGAATCAAGGAAGAGTTACAGTAGGGGTGGGGATAGTCTGAGCAGCAAGACAGAGAAGGAAAACTGGGAGGAACGGGTGGGCCCGAGTGCCCTGACACCCTCCAGGGCACACCCGGCACACGGTGTCCACAGGCAACTGCTGGCCTGCACAACACCTACAAAATCAAAGCTCACATGGGAGGCACACACACACACATACACCCCTAACATCTGTGTGCATTGACAGACATGTTCACACATCTTAGTGGGCACTCCCAAATCCAGATGAGAATTAAGAAGCCCAGCAAAAATGCCTCATTCTCCATGCCCAAAGATAAATAATTCATTGTTGTGTAACTGCTCTTGTTCCAAAAATAATTCCCTTGTCTCAGCTTCCGTGGGGGAGGGGAGCAGAATGTGCTGGGTGGGCCTCCCGTGTTGTGGGGTGCAAGGGCCAGGATCTCTGCAGCAGGAGAGCTGGTCCTGTTAGTATAACTAAGCTAAAGGAGAAGGGCCAAGAGTTAGACACATTCCCTAGTAGGGTACTCCCAAGGACAGCATGCTGCCCAAAGTGGGGGTCAGGACTTGGGACCAACACAATTGGATCCCTCCATCCCCTTCCAGAATCAGAGGCTCAGAGAAGGACAGGGCTTTGCCCCAAGTAACACAGCAAAGCCTGGGCAAGGATCAAGGCTCCTGAGACACTCAGGGTCAGGAGTCAAGAGGCCCTCCCCACACAGCCTGACTGTGGGTAAATCACTCTGTCTCTTAGCTACTGCTCTTCCGTACAGTGTGGGGGAGGGAACCCAGCCCTTTCCTGGGCAATTTGATGGGAAGCAGCAAGGTGACTTGGCTGCTCACCCTGAGACACAGAGGACAGGACAGCAGCAGGGGTCACAGCCCACAGCCCATCTGATTCATCCTTCCCTTTCCCACGAGGAAACCACGTCCCAAAGTCTGCCCTGGGGAGATCTGGCTAGGTCCTCGGCAAGCTGCATTCGGCCAGACCTGGCTCAGGCTCACACCCTATGCTCCAGACTCCAGAAATTGCAAAGGCCCTAGACAGTTGTGTTCCAACAAGGACACAAGATGGTCTGAGAAATCCACATTTGTCAAAGAAAGCCTTGAAACAGTGTCCACAAGAGCCACCTCCACCTCGGCTCCTCCCCCAGGGAGACTCCAGGAAAGAGAGCTTTGAAAAAAAAAAAAAATGTCTAGACTTTGTGTTAAAGTGAAGCCAATTTAAAACTGTGACAAGCAGAGGGAAAGAGGGAGGGAGGCGGTGGGGACACACTGAGAGGACGCTCCGGCAGTGCGCGCTGAAGTGCCAGGTGATGCGGTCCAACCTGGGTCAGAGGCCAGTCTGACACACCTTTCTCCCCACTGCAGGGCCAGCGTGGCTGTCACAAGGCTGCCCAGGCAGCCGACAGCTCGTCTGTCCTCACCTGTACCATACAAAGCTGTCACAGCTGCAGAGTTCGGCTCCTGTGACACAGGGCCTCAGTTTCCCCTCCCACAGGCAGACAGATTGTCCCAGAGGGGGTAAAGTCCTTCCGCCTGCTGTCTTGAGAAGCAGGAACCAGCCTGTCCGAGAACCCTCAGTCTGTAACACAGTCCCTCCTCGGTCTGGGGACCACATTGGCATGCAGGTGCACACACAGGTGTGTGGCTGACTCAGTACGCAGACACAAGGGTGCTGATACATGCGCCGAGACAGCATGCAGGCAGGCACATAAGCATGTGTGTGTGTGTGTGTGCGCGCGCACGCGCATAGGACATGTGCAGCTATGATCAGCCAAAGGGACCCATGCTGGTGTGTGGAGGAGTGGCAGGCATGCATGTCTGGGGCCTTGGTAAGGCAGGCAATTACCCACCCCCTCTATGCCATTTAAGCACATGTGTATTGCTCATACAAAACCAGCCACACAAAGAGTCCCTCCCCCTGCTTAGATGTGAGCTAAACGAATATCACCTTAGCCAAGACCAGGCTGGCCGGAGCTGTGGAAGATACCAGCAGGCAGGGGATAGGAAGAGGCAGAGGGAATAGGTTGAAGGGGGCCCTGGTTTGGAGAGGGGCTGGCCCCACTCAGCCCTGCCCTTCCAAGACAGGCCAGGGTAGGCAGAAGGCTCATAGTTCCCCCAAACCCACAAGGTGACCCTGCAGTGGCCCTCTCCTGCTTCCCTGCTCCCAGGATGGCTTGGGCTGAGGCCCGGCTCCTACTCTCCCTGTGACGCACAGTGGGGAGGAGGCTCCCATCACTGTGTCCCGTGTGCGTCAGTTGCCCTGTCCTCATGCTGGGCTGTCTGCCCACCACCCGTTGAGGCCCCGTACTGGCAGGGAGAGGACAAGGCCACAAAGATGCTGACAGCAGCACCTGGCCCCCTGCCCAGCCACTCACCCGATCAAGGTGCAGGTGTGCAAGGGGTGGGGGTGAGGGTCTCAGGGGTCAAACAGGCAAGACCGTCCTCCCCTGCCCCCCATGAGGGTGCTCCTCAAACACACAGATACGCCTGGGAGGAAGGAGAGACAAAACCATAGCGAAAATGAGCAGGGAGACAAATGCAGAGCCCTCCACAGAGGGCTGGCCACAGGGAGAAGGGGGGTGAGTTTGGGTGTGACAGTGTGGCACAGGTACCTGCCGCCTGGCCCGAAGGCTCAAGGGGACACTTGAGACTGGACTCAGCTAAGCCCTGAAACACATCCCAGAGCAAGTCAGAGGGAGGACAGAAGCATGAAGGGCAGCTGCCCGGAGCCTAAAATCATGACAGGGCCGAGTCCCTTGGGAGCCATGCAGCAACGCAAGCAAGACCGCACCAATCCTTGCAGCATTGGCAAAGAGCCGTCCAGCCGACTTCAGGCTGTGTGATATCCCTTCCCATGAATCCTTGGATGGAAAGGAAGAAGAAGAGTCAGCAACACCAGTGGGCACCGGATACTGGGGAGTAGACGGGGTAGGTCAGAGCTGGAGAGAGACCATCTGAGACACCTGGGCACTGTTCTTATGTCTCAGGCTTAGCTTCAGTGGCCAGGTTGGCCCAGCTGGGGTTATGCCCTGACCTTCAAGGACTCAGAATCCTGGCATATCCAAAATGAAATGATGAGCCCGGGCTCAGCTGGGTTCCAGGCTTCCCATGAGGGAAACTGGGCCAGGACAAAAAGAGGGAACACGGTCCGAGTCCTACATGGACTCAGGACCCAGGATGCCAAGCCCAGGGCCCCAGTGGGATCCTCTTCATGGCAAGTACTCACTCCCTGTAGTACAGGCATTGGGCTGTGTGGTTCTCTCACACAAGAAGCTGAATGGAAGCACCCCACAGGCATGGCTGGGGCAACCCAGGCCTAGCAGTACGGCTGATGTGACTTCCATGACATCAGCCTGTGGTGGTCTGGATGGGAAAGGCCCACTCTGAGACTCTTGGGGAACCTCAGTCTTCTCTGAGCCTCAGTTTCTTATGTGGCAAGATGGCGAGTAGGCACAGCGGGACATGCCAGTCGTGTCAGAGTGAAGAAGTGTCACCTCAGTCGTGCCGACCCAGGCTTTCACCCCCATGAGGATGCTGCTTGGCTCAAAGGACAAGGACAGGACATGGGAACGTGTGGCTGTGCATCCTGGCCACCCATGAGAGATGAGAAAATCAGCAGGTACACATCACTGTAGCAGTTCAGGCCTGGCAGATTCCTCTCAGGACCAGGCTGGCCAAGCCTCCCCCATGCCATCGTAATAACCACTCAAGACCACGCTGGTACTCTGGATGAGGAAGACGGGATGCCCTAGGCCAGCCAGAGCTCCCAGCACTCACAACATCACCACCATTCTTTTCTAGAAACTAGCAGTGGGCCACCAGGTCACTACCCATCCTTCCACCTTCAGGAACAAACCTGGCTACCTTCTGGGGCTGAGCCTCGGAACTCAGGACCGGACACTAGGGCTTGCTGCTGCCTTCAGTGTCCAGGTCTTCTAGGGCGAACTGCCCTGGTCTCTGCTGCTCCTCTATGGCTTGGGACATTGTGCCAGCACCACTGAACTACCTGGTAAGTCACCTGGGTTTCAAGGGTGACGTGTCTGCCCCCAAGGGAGACAGAAGTGTGCAGGCACCGGAAATAAGAGCTTCTGGGGTCCAACACAGAGCTATGTGACACAGGCTGGCTCACCACCCTCTCTGGGCTCCAGTCTCTTCACCTCAACCCTGTGTGATGGATGCCTCCACTAACAGATAACAAGACTGGAAGGCTGGACTCATGGCAGTGGGATGGACACACACTGACCATCTTGTGGGTTTCCTGACCCCCATATACCCTCTCCTAACATAAGGAGCTGTCCCCAACCCCCCAACCCCTGGGAGGTTAACTTATCTGTCAATCAAGAAGTCCTTAGTTAAGACCACTGTGCGTCTCTTAACCTCAGGACCTTTGCACGTGAGTCTACCTGGTATCTACTTCCTCAGCACACCGCAGCCCTCTGCCTGAACTGCTCCCTACCCTCACCCTGCTTTGTCCCCAGACCTGAGAGAACCCCCTTATTGTCCAGCCTAGCTTTTGCCCCCTCGCTGTACTCACCCATGACATCTGACTCTCCCCCACCACCCACTCCCTCACCCACCACCCAGCACAGCACAGCTGGGCTCTGCCTTGCTCACTGCTGTAACCCCAAGCTTGCTGTAGGCTCAGACACACCAGGTGCTGGGGTTACCATGTGCAGAAGAGATAGGGAGTAGCAGCAGGAAGAGGGGCTAGAACCCCTGACGCCCTCGGGGCCAGGGTGTCAAAGCTCAGAGCTCACCACCAGTGGGCTCACCATGTGCAAGGAAATGCCCTGAGCCTCCTGGCCTTATAACGCCTTACACTTCTCATTTCAGTCAAAAAGACAGACGCTCAGAGAGACATAGCACTCTGCCCAAGGTCACACAGCCAGGAACCTAGGCCAGCCTGAGCGCCTGTGTCCACCCCGGGACTCTCAGTCGGTGCCTGTGTTCTCCATCTCGTCCTGAACCAGGGTGCCGGCTCTTCCCTGCCCTAGGTTCAGCCACTCCAGGTCACCCCCATAGTTGGGCTACCTGGAACCCAGCGTCAAGACCAGTGTCATCTGAGCCGTCGCGTCCACCACGCTTAGCTTCCTACGCCTGCCCACGCAGCGGGAGCATGTGTCACTGTTGTCCTCACCTTGTCCTAGATGTCACCCAGGCCCCCGGCCCTGTGTGTACACTGCTGGACACCCTCAGAACACCCAGGACAGCTGGGGGGCATTCCATCTCCATCCCACCCGAGGTGCTGGGTTTCATCTACCCCATTCAATCACGTCTCATTAATCTCAGCCCGCATGCCAGCTGCTCAGCATCCCCAGGGAGCTGGCCTCGGCACCCACTCCGTGTTACCCACGCTGGGAGCAGTCATGGCTTGTGCCATGCCACCGGGAGCCCTCCAGCCACAGTCAGGCACCACGTCACCCTGCAGGGGTTCTTCTGGTACCTGTCCTGCCGCGGTGGACACACTTGCCATCTCTGAGCTTTGGTGGGCCTCCAGAGACTAGAAAGACCCACACACATTCGGAATATGGAACTCTTGGCCAGAGACATAACCAAGAAGGAGCTGCCATAATCGGAGCTGGCATGGAAGAGTGTCAGCAATGAGGCAATGAGACCCGATGGGTGGGGTCCTCAGGCAAAGCCTGCAGTCCAGGGCCTTTCGTCTCTGGGCCTCAGTTCCTGTTGGACTCAGAGAACAGCAGTGTGCACGGGTCTCTTGGGCTCTGCCATTGCCCCCCCCCCCCCCGAGCTCACAGGTCTTCTACATCCCTGTCCCCAAGGAACCCAGCACAAACCACAACTAATCTTCGATGCAGGAAGTCAAGGACCTCTCTAAGGCCTTGGACTTGGCTACTGCCCACAGCCTGCCAGGGAGGCCCAGCCCTGGGTTGTAAGTGGTTCTGTAATACCTGGCCTGGCCCAGCTCCTTCCCACCCGAGCCTCAACCAACCTAAGACACCAGGCCCAAGGGCCCTTAGGTGCCCACCTCAAGGATGCTCTGAAGGGAAGTCCATCCTAGCGCTGACTCTTACAGAATCCCCCTACTCAGGGAACTGTCTTTGTTTGGGGCGGGGGGGGGGACGGCTCGCCTCCCCGGGAGCCACCTCTAGGACTGACACTACCCCCCACCACTCTACACTACCCTCTCCCCACCTAGCCTCTCCTCCCCCCACATGACCCTGCCCTTTCTCTACTTATCTCTCCCCCACCAGCCTTTCCTCTCTCCCCACCTGGTCTCTTCCTCCTATCACTCCTGACCTCTCCACCCATGCTGCCCCTGCCCTCTCCTGCCTGGCTCTCCTCCCCCACTTGGCTCAGCAGCAGTCCCTGGGCGCTACTCACCGGTCTCCACTGGACCCGCTCTTGCACAGTGCCTGCGCGCGCACGCTGCCTCTGCCTGCATGGCCTCCATTCATTCATTCAATAAACATTTATGGAACACCTACTATGTACCAGGCACCGGCTAGGCCCACCCTCTTGGTTCTGCCTGCACAGCCTGCTCCTCCTCCAGGGTCCCAAGGGTGGGCATTTTCCTGCCTTCCAATATCCTTAGGGTTGTCCCAAGGCAGGGCACTGTAGCAGGGGACCTCTGGGGAGAAGCGGAGGCTCCAGGTCGGAGCATACAGCCCACTGGAGCAGCCTGGCCTGTCAGGGGAATACATGGGCAGAAAAGGCATCCGTTGGGCCTGGGAGCTTCCGGGGAAGCAGCCTTTGAGCCTGCGCTGTTCCAGTCACCAATACAGAGGAAGGGACTACGCCTCCAGCTGTTGTGCGGTGGCTTTCTCCTCCTCGGCCCCAGGCTCTGACTCATGCAACGCCAAGGGGCCCTGCTTCATCTGGACAGTAATTAAATTTTGTTTTTAGCTGGCTGGCAATGTGGAAAGCTTGGGAGGCTTTTATCTTTAAAGCATTCCTGTTTCTTGAACCCAGTAGCACCCACAGACAATGGGGTAGCCGTGGTACTGTCCTCCCTGACTGTCACCCTGACCCCTACCTGGGCACTGAAGTTTATGAGGCAAACAAGACAGGGACTCTCAAGAATGGGGGCAGTTACGCCAGCTTGCATGGGGGCCCACGGGCAGGCTGCTCCTGGCCCACATACTCAACCCTTGCCTCCGTCCCTACCCCTCAGTGATTCTGGGTCTCAGAACTCTAGGACGTTAGCAGCATGGATCTGTCAGGTTGGGAATCTCCAATGATGAGTGGCTGTGGCTCTTTGGTCCTACCAGTCTGCAGCTTTTAGGTCTGGGCTAGGAGTCATACATTCTCCAGGACTTTCAACTGCCCCAGCCTTCCCAGGCCTCCCCTTGGCTTTCAGCAGGGGAATCATCATAGAGTTTCCCATACCTGCTGCCCCTCCAAACACCCACAACTTCTTGCCTGCCCTCCAACACCACTACCTAGATCTCTGGGTCACACTGGGAGTTCCAGCTGAATTTCTGGAATAAGCCCTCTTTTCTGCCCCCTGGCCTCTGTTGAGTTCCTACTCAAGGTTGCATGGACATCAAGCCCAAGGCTGACTCCTGAACCAAGTTTGAACCAAACGTATGTGGGATCCTGAGCAGCCGGACTTCGGGATACTATGCCCTGACTCACTGCCTCTCACCTGCCTCTCCCAGCTCCAGCACCCAAGGTCCCCACCAAGGCTGGGCTGAGGATTCCTCCCAGGGCTGAGCTAGCTGTCTGGATCCTTCCTACCTCCAAGCAGGTGGTCGCAAACACCAGCATGGGGGCCACCCAAGATCATGTGGAACACCCTCTCCTGGCCCTGAGGGCAGTTGTTCTGGGGGCTGGGGGCCAGACTGGAGGCTGCCTTGGAGGCCGCAGGGGGCCTGCAGCTGCAGCCCAGAGAACAAGGAGGCTCTGTCCGCATCCAGGGCCCCAGAAACGCCACTGGGGGAGGGCCACCCGTGACCACGGTGATGACATGCCTTAAACCATGGAGGCTCCTGTGTCTACCCCACTCAGTGGGTCCTGTCCTCCTGGCTATCCTGGAAGTTGAGAGCTGTACTCAGATCACATGGGGCTCTGACTCTATCTCACCCACTAGTCCTGGCAAACTACCTTCCTGTGTGTTTCCTCTGCTGGAAAAAAAAAGAGAGAGAGCGAGAGAGAGACCGGAAGGGTTCTGACTATAGGTAACAGCTAGAGGGAGCAGGGTCTGGCACATAGTAACTGCTCAATAAAGTTAACTGCTCTGGAAGGTTCCAGCAACTGGCTCCAGGAGCACAGTGCCAGCTGGCAAGTTGACCTTGTCACCTCCATGCTGGCAGTGGCTGTGCAGAGGCTGCGGCCTGGTCCCTGCCCTGCTCTTTCCTCTGGTCCTGAGAGCCCAGCACCCCTCTCTGCCTCTCTCCCTGCCCCCTCTCTGAGGTCCTGGACCCTCAAAGGCCATTTCCCACCCCAGCCTCAGCCTGTACCCAGCCTCGGTTTCTCTCCCATTGCCAGAGCACAATGGCTGTTATAATTAACGGATTATCTCAGCGCGACAGCTGTGCCCCTTTGAAAATTAGGTTGAATAACAAGATCCTGATGTATGGTAATTTCCTCTCCTCGCCCAGCCCTGTTACGCATGCAAATATTTTACTCCACTCCCAAACACCTTCCCTTCACCACAGCCTCCCCTTCCTAGGACTGTGAGCAAGGGTTCTGCCTTCTCGGTCCCTCAGGGCTCTCCTGCCACCCATGACTTGGCATCCATTATGCCTCCCTCTAGGGAAACACAGCCATCCCAGCCTGAGGCCCCGCATGGCTGCCTTTCCCTTTGCCCCTACTTCTCAGAACCCTTCCTGGGGTCCCATGCCAACTCTCTGCTGCTCCCAAGCCTACTTTCAGTCCCAGAGCACATCTTGGTCCTCTCCGTGGTTCCTAATAGATGGCTTTGTGCTGCCCACCATCACCTACCCCCCTCAGCCCTGTTCCAGCTGCCTGTCTCCTCCCTGCCACCTAGAAGGGCCCTCTTCCCCCCAGCCACACACCCTGTCTGGCTTCTCTCCAGCTTCCCAGCCTAGGGAAATCTGTGCCCACCAGCTCCACTGGGCCTGCTGAGTTCCGCTCCTTCAGCATCCTCTCTGGTCTGCCTCCAGGCTCAGCAGCTATCACAGCTACCCTCCACCCGACAGGGAGAACTTGCTAGAACATAAATCTGAGCATGCCTTCCCCTAACAGAAAGGCTTCCCTGGCTTCTGACTGATCTGGGGAAATTCCAGCACACTCACAGCCCAGCCCCTGTGATCCCTTGGGAGCCGGAACCTGCTCTCCTCGCCTGGTTGGGGTGCCCCTTGTGGGTCCCTCCAACCCCTGGGCTTTGTCTCTTTCCAGTTCTACCAGGATCCTAACTGCCACTGGCTTTTCCCCCTTAGACTCAGTTCTCCAAGGAAGGCCCAAGTCTGAGCCTCCCCACCGACCCAGCCAACACCAGGCCTCAGTAGGTGCTCAATAAATATCTCCCGCTGCTAAGTGGGTAGGAAAGCAAGCCCTCCCGAAACAAAGAAACCGAGGCTCAGAGTGGCTAATAGTCTCCTACCATCACACAGTCATGCAAGGCAACACCAGGACTCGAACCTAGATCTGAGATCTCAGTCCTTCGCACTCCCTGATGAGGCTGTTTGGGAGCAGCTCCTCCACAGTCAGGAGTGGGACAGTGTCAGCATCCCCAAAGCCTCAGCTGCCACTAAAGAGTCAGGATCTCATCACGGGCTGTCCCTCCCTGCATCTAACCTTGGATCCGAGCCTCAGGCTACTCACATGTGAAGCGGGGAAGGAGCCACCTCTACTACGCTGGTCTAAGGGTGGCTGCCAAGCCCAAAGTCTAACTAGAGGCTTCTGGGTATCTTCCTGCTATAGCTCTTGGGAATACCTCGGGACGTTGGTATAGACAGGATGGGAGAAGTCACACAGCGCAGACCCCTTCAACAAGAGGTAATAGTAGAAGCATAGGCAGGTGGGGTCAGATCAGACCTTGGACGAGAAGCTTCCCTCTCTGGGCCCAGTGTGCTAGCTTCGGAACCAGGCCCACGAATACCCACCTCTGGGGGCAGTAGTAAAGACTAACAGGGATATGCCCAGCACAACACAGATCCCACACTAACTAGGTGGCTGCTGGTTCTAGAGGAGTTCCAAGGACAGGAGAAGGAGAAGGGTGAGGCCAAGCAAGATGCGTCCCTGACTCCCTCAACAGCCCGGCAAGACTGCCACTGCCCCCACACAGGGCTCACACCCTCAAACCTCACCTTCTCTGAGCTCACACCCTGCTGTGTTCTTTGCTAGCCCCCCCCATGTCCTCCAGGTCTTTGTCCATGGTATTCCTGAGCCTGGGGGGCTGTTCCCCCCACCCACATACACATCTTGGGGCCCAGAACTTTGCCCCTTCTCTGAGGAGCCTGCAGGAGAAGGATGGCCTCCCTGCTCTACCCCACTCCCAATGAGTGGCCCATGGAATTCTGGAAAAGCCTCACCCCACCTTGCCCTCCCATGTTACAGGTGGGGAAACTGAGGCATAGACAAACAGTAGCCCTCCCATGATGCACTCGAACCCCAGGCTCTGCTGCTCAACCCTCCACGGGGCTTCTCTCTTGGTACCCAAACTATCTAAGAATGGGACCCCCACTTTCCTCTCTGTGCTCCCCAGTGCCTAGCCTAAGGCCTGGCGCATAGTAGGCACTCAGTAAATGTCTGTTGAATTGAATTGCACTCAGGGCGGCCAGTCGTCTCTGCTCTGGAAGAGAAGCATAGAGTTAGTGGAGCTGTTTCCATGGCAACCAGGGACTGGACCACGCCGTTGGGGGAGGAGTTCAGTTACCCCCCATACACACACCAAGGACCCCATGGGCCCTGGAGAGACTCCTGGGGAGAGGGAACATTCAGACTTAGGTGAGTCCGAATTTAAGTCATGCTTGCCCCTAGGGCCTCATGGGTCCCATCTAGAGGTGACACTTTGGTCCCTCCAAGCACGTGACAAGGACCGCAAGAGATGTATAAAGCATGCACGTGGTGGCCTCCAGCTTAGAGGCTGTGAGTGCTTGGCACCTGATGCCTGTAAACTGTCTGGGAATCATGCCCATTCTACAGCTGTGAGGACTGAGGCTTGGGGGCTGCCCTGCGGGGCTGCCCTGGATCCACACTGTAGAGTTGGAAGAAGCAAGGCACGACAATCCTCAGACAAAGATACCAACCAACCCCCCAAACCCGCCGAGGGTGGCCTCAGCCCAGCCCAAGCAGCTAAAGACTGTGCAAGCCAAGGATCCAGCAGGAATTCCCAGGCGCAGAAGGGTAAGGTGAGAAGGGGGCTCACCCCTGTTTGCCTCTCCCCAGGGGGTGAGCTCAGATACATCAGCACCCCCAGAGGGTTCAAAGCAGTCCTCAGATCCCAGGCTGCCAAAGCCTGAGCAGGCCCAGAGTTAATATAGATCAGTGGGGTCTATAAATATACAGCTAAGTGGGCCCCGCAGGGCCCCAACCCCAGCCCTGCCCCATAGCTGCCTTCCTTCTGGGCTTCGGTTTCCATGTCTGTCCCAGCAAACTACACCAGAACAGGGACCACCAAGGTCAACGGTTCTACCCCAGCAGGACTGGCCCAGAGAGGCCCTTGGGGCCAAGGCCAGAGCCCCCAGGAAGCATAAGAGAAAAATTAGGCTTCCCTGGCCGCCTCGCTCTCTCGAAGCCGAAGGTGTCCAGGTTTTGACTCCGTCATGGCCTAGGAGTGTGCAGCCATAGTGAAAGAGGCCTGGGGACCAGAGCTCTGGCCCTCACTCCAACAGCCTTTACAGCCAGGAGTCACAAGAGCTAGTCTGGGTGGGCCAAGTCCTGGGCTGCCCTTTGTCCTCTGGGTCCACCTGACTTCAGGGGGAGGAGGCAAAGCTTTATAGGAAATGAAGCCAAGGGGACAGTCTGAACTGCCCTGCAAAATCCAGGGTGCAACAGTACCCAGTGTGGCATCCATGCCCCCACTGGATTCGAAGGATAAAAAAGGCTCCACAGGCTCACGCCAAAGGGCCCTGTCCCCACAGGCAGACGTGGATCTGAAGGAGATGCACCTCCTGGCACTAGGCCCTGCATGCTCAGGATGTCAGCCACACTAACAGGAATATTTGAAGGGGAAAACAAGCAAGGCCGGGCAGGAATCACGAAGTCCGCACCCACTGCTTCTGGGATCTGAGAGAAATGCATACGAACTCATAAACACGGTTCTGAGTAGCAATGGCTACAGAATCTAGGAGTCACGCATGGGGAAGGAGCAGGGTCTCACGGAAATCTCAACTCAGATGGACGGACTCACACGGCAGGCAGAAAAGCTGAGGGGCCCAAAGGCTCTCTCACCTGCACCCCCCGCCCCATTCCCTAGGCCCAGACACTGAGCACCCTTGTGGGTCCTGTCTTCATGTACCTGAGTTACAGGAGGGCGGCGCAAGCCTGCCTCTCACTCTCTACCCCTCGCTGCCAGCAGCCTGGACAGTAACCAGACCACCCTGAACCTAGGCATTCCAGCATCCCCCAAGGATACCTCAACCCCATACAGCTGCTACAAGAAGCAAAGGGTAGGCAGAGTGCCCCTGCCTGTTTATAAACTGTGAAGTGCTGTTCTTCGCTGGTTTCTGTAATCTAGTCTACAGTCTATAATCCAGTCTAATAAATCCTAGCCCCCCCCCCCGCCGCCACTCAGGTTTGAATCCAGGGCCTCACAGGTGCCCGCCTATCTCCCCTCCCAAAATCCTGCATCAGTTTGAATCAGCTGGGCCACCTAAGCCTGCCCTAAGCCTGCCTCAGCCCACAAGGCTTGCCTCACTTGGTCTTCTGGATCCTGGGAGCCAGTCACCAGTGTGTTTGTCTCATCCTACATCCAAGACGGCAAGACCCCCGAAGGTTAACTAACTTGCTCAAGCCAACTGTGCACAAACGTGAGACCGCTTGGCCATGCCTCTGCGGGCCTGCCTGGGGGTCTCCAGTGCTCTGGCCACTGCGGTCCCCCAGTTCACTCATGCCCACCTGCTCCCACTTTACACATTTTCCCAGATGTGTGCAATATTCATGGTTCCGCCAGCAACAGCTCGACACCTCCTCTCCAAGGCCTTCGGGAGCCCCATTAATCATCCAGACACACCTGCATATTCATTAACTTCTGAATTAATACGGGGTCCTTTATTACCTCGGGCCTGCTGCCTGCATTAGAGACACTTCGACTTCATTCATTATTAAACTCCCCTGATAAATGATCACATCTCTTCTTCACAAAGGAGGGGCACAGCACCCAGACCCCCCCCCCAAGCCAACAGGTCTGCTCTCATCACCAGCTGCTGTGTGACCTTGAACAAAACCCTTACCCTCTCTGGGCTTCCCACCTGTTGACCCGGTAGAATCAGACGAGGTCAGTCTCCTCTGGCCAGCTTGGTCAAGATGGTCCTGCCCCGCCCTTTGTCCCTACTCTGTCAGTTTCGTGGAGGCACTCCTTTCTTGTTTTCTAGAAAGAGAGTGACCCTGCAGATCACCCACAGTGGGCTCTGTCACATAATAATAAGGGCAGATATAACGATATTCCGCAGGACCTCCTGAGCCCTGCCCAGTCCCAGGTCTTATGCTAAGCCCAGCACTGTCCCTAGCTTCACAACAACGTATACTTTTCTTGGTGTGGGGAGGCGGATGTGAGAAGACAGAGGCCAGCAAGGTCAAGGTCATCTCCCCAGAAAGGCCAGAGCTGGCTGTCAGCCCAGGTATCCACAAACCACCTGGTTCAGGCCAGATCCACCCAGTGCCTCCCTCCCTGCCAATTCCTTCCATATCCACACTTGCCTGCTGAAGCTGCACGTCCACTGGCTCCCCAGCAGACATCACATTAGTCTCCATTATGCCCAGTGCCCAGAGAACCCTCCAATGAAGCGTGAGGATACCTCGGTCTATGTCTTCCCCGCCCCACTGGCTACACCCACTTTTTGCCTCCACTGTGCGTGCACTCCAGGCGTCACCAGGCTGGGAGTCACCAACATCAGTGGGGCCAGCTGTCCTCCCCCTCACTCCTGCCCAAAACTAAGATGCAGCCTGAAGCTTTGCTCTCACCCTCTGGCTGTATCGCCGTGGACTCCTTCCCAAACCTCTGGGTGCCTCTGCTCCACCATCATCCTCATGCATGGCTTTGACCTCTCCCTCGTCCCTCACCTCCAATCTGTCTTGACACCTGCCCAGGCCTCACATCTGCTGTCCCGGCCGTTCAAACCAGAAGTAGCTCTTAGGTAGATAGCAGCAAGACCTCCAGCATCCCCTGTCTCCTCCCCTCCCCCTGCCGGGCTTCCCAAGGACCACCCATCATGACCTCAGAGCTGTCTCAGGTCTCAGGTTGAAGCCAGGAGCCATCCTGAAGGTCATAGCTCCCCTCCCTCAAGGGTCTAGCTGTACCTACTCTTCCCCAGGATGACTCTACCCACCTTGTCTGAGTACGGGTTCCTCTCAGATCTGTGTGGGTCACATAGCAAACAGACCCAACCCACAGCCCCAGTAACAGGCAGCTCTGCACCTGGTACCCTATAAAGAAGCTTCCTGTGGAGTCCCTGGGGTCATTCCACGGGCCATCCCCTGTCAACAGGACCCCTGCTTAACCAAACCTCTTCTCAAATGAGACGAGGTCCAGAAAAACAAAGTGGCCAGGCCAGGACAGTAGCTACAGGATGCAAGCCCTGCCCTGTAAGAATCTGGTTCTAAGATCAAAACCAGGCCCTGACCACACACCATATCGTTCAGTCACTTGCACCCTAAGGGGTGGGCCTGGTTGCTCTACCCATTGCGGAGATGAGGAAAGAGGCCCAGAGCAGTGAAGTCACTTGTCCAATGACACACAGCTAAGAACAGGAACAGGAATGAGGTTCCCCAAGTTGGACCTCTGCTCAGCTTGCTGGTTGGCAGAGGGGGAGGTCGTCAAGCATACAGCAGCAGAGACCTGAGCACGGCCCTCCCTCGGCAGACATCAGCTTCCTTCTTCTTCTGTAAGTGCAGGCCAGGACAGCCCAGGGACACTTCATAAAAGAGACCTTCTCTACCCACTAGTCACAGACCCTAAGCTACAACAGCATGTGGAAGGAATAGGGGGAAAGCATGTAGGGCCATCGCCAAGGGATGGGGAACTCAGGGAACAGTGACAAGGAGCTCATGGGACAGGCAGGGCACAGGCCCGGCACCACAGGGTCACCAGGAGGCTAGAAGAGAGGCAGGAGCTGGTGAATCTGAGAAGTTAGGGACCTCAGAGGCCTGCGCTCTGCCAGGCAGACAGTCCACAGGAAATAGCACCTGCCAAGCTCAGGAGCTGCCTGGCCGAGGATATGGACAAACAGAACAGAAGGGAGGAGGAGAAGGCAGGAGCTTGAAACGCCTGTGAGGCCCAGGCAAATCAAAACCCTCACAAACACACCCAAGTTTGGGAGTCTAAAGATACCTTCCTGGTATTTATTAAAAAAAAAAAAAAAAAAAAAAAAGCCAGCTCCTAACTCCTCTTGTGAAAAGCCAGCATGACAGGGTTTGCATAAAGCAAGTGGCCCTCCTGGCTGCCTGGGTGCGTCAGGTGACCCCTGTGAAAGGGTCATTTGACCCCAAAGAAGTCGCAGCCCACAGGTTGAGAACCACTGCCCTGGGGCTTGCTTCCTGTAGCCAATGTCCTGGCCAGACCACTTTGCCTCTCTGGGCCTCGTCTTATCTGAGACGTGGTCTGGTTAAGAAGGGGTCCTGTTGGCAGTGGAT